CACCCCACACACCCCACCACTCTTCATATCAAGTTTTAGAAAAATACAAACTCCTCTACATCCTATTGCCAGATTACTCTTCTTTTTTAAAGACAAAGAAAATTGACGAGCCTACCTCTTTAAATATGCGTGGGAGTTGATGGAAAGGCTTGTTGATTACCAACTCAACAATACCCAAGTGTTGGAATTCAAGTTACAGTTCTTGGAGAGAGGTAAAGTTGTTCTCTTTCTCTAGAAAGTATTAAATTTTGGGTTTAGGGTTCTATTTATTTGTGTTTTTTTTTGCTAGGAACAAAGAAAATTGTGGGGTTTAAATAGAAAATCTCTTTTATTTATTTTTATTTTTTTTTCAGTTTGGGGTGTATTTAAGCGTAGTTTGGGAAGATAGTGGGGTTTTCTTAGAAATTGTGAAAATTTAAATTAAAAGATGGGGTGAACTAAGAGAAATGTGGGGTTTAAATAGAAAATCTCTTAAAATTTGCCATGTATCATTTTTTTAAAACAATTAAAACTTTATTTTACAGCTGGACATAAAACCCAACTATAACCCTTTGAAATAAAAGATCATGAAAAAGATGGAACCGGCCACCCCGACCCAGTCTCCTACCGCCCCCTCCTTCTCTCTCTCCCCCTTCTCACGCAATTCAACAACTTAACCATATCTGAATCCTTCATTCTCACCCTTTCGATGGCTACCCCAAGACCTAGTTATATTTCTCCCTTTTGAAGGTCTCACTCATTTGTTGACTACTAATTTTCAGATTGCCATCAAATCTGTAAAAGCTTGATGTGAGAGATGGGTGTTGATGGTAATTGAATTTCAATGCTTAAGACATGTTGCATGTGCTTCCATGGGTTCAAGAGGCCTTTCAGTTTTAGAGAGAGAGAGAGAGAGAGAGAGAGAGAGAGAGAGAGGCAGTGCATGGTAAGGGGTTGGGTCGGGTGTAGGGCTAGAATTAGGGGATTCCAATTCCATTCCAAAAAAATTTGGAATGAAAATTCTTTTCCAATACCATTCCAAAAAATTTCAGAATTTCGGCATCCATTCCAATTTAGAAAACTCGGAATTTTCGGAATTATAGGAAAATTTCAGAACTTACATATTTTGGAATATTTTTGGAAAGTTTTGGAAACTCATTGAAAATTTTAAACATGTCTAAAGATATAAAAGGTTAAAATTTTCTCAAAATTGAAAAATCAAACGAAAAAGCTCAAGAAACTATTATATGATATCACTTATATGTTGTTATCCGTTATGAAATAGCTCGTGTAAGTTTATTTGGTCATTAAGTCATATCAAATTCAATATGAAACTAATCATTATGAGTAGTCTAAGTGATGCAGATAAGGAAACATTAAAGTTAAACATTGGGATAGAAAGCACTTTTCTCATTATTTTGGCTTTTAATAAGATCCATGAATTTGGAATAGTTTGGCTTTAAATAAATTTGATGTATTTGGAATACTTAGAGTTCTCAATGTATCTAGATTAGTGAGGTTCATTAATTTGGGTCCAAAGTTTTTTTTCATTAGTATGGTTAACAGCTGTTGAGAACTGATTGGTTGGGGATACTTACATGGCATCTCCGTGCCAGGAAAGTTTTTCTCCTATACTATTCCATGGATTTAGAACTAGTTTCGGCGAGTTTTATGATATAGGGCCCGAAAACTCTTCAATTGGGGATGCAAGTCATTCTATAGTGAGGGCCTAATATATGGCCCTTAGGCCATCTCCAATCCATGAGGCCAAACTCAAAAAATCCCAAATTATTGCCCAAAACTTCTCCCAACCCAAGAAAATGAAGAGGCCAAATAGCAGTCTAGCTATTGCCTGGACCTAAAAAAATTTCAATGGAACCCACCTGCTGTGTCAACATCCCATGTGCAAGCAACCATCGTTGGGCCTGCCAACAGCGCATGCGCTGGTTATTGAAGATGTTGCCTTGCCAAGTGTTGGCTTGTAGTGATACTGCCGTTGGAATCCAACGACAACAATTCAAAATTTGTTTATTTGTCTTTTATATTCTAATATTAACTTAAATTAACGATATGGATTAAATCTAAGCTATTTTAACGGTAAAAAAAAAAATGATCCAATGGCTGAAATTTAAATCCAACAATCAAAATAATATTTTAAATTAATCTAGATCAGATCCAACCCCAAAACTCACCCCAAACTCTATAAATACCCACTCATTTCTAAAATAATCTACCAAAAACATTATATTTGTGGAATTTCAATTTTTTACCGTTAGGTGAGACCATATTTCTTAACTGTTGGATCACATTGGTTAGTCATTAAATCAAATTGATTAGCATGATCCAACGGTTAAAATATAAAGCTTCACCTAAGGGCTATATATAAAGTCCTCACTATAAAATTCTTGTTGGGATGGCTTTTGGCATTTGAGCTCTATATTTTTTAGGCCCAAAATGGTACAGCCCCATATAAGGCCCCCGCTGGGGATGGCCTGAAGTTAAAATCTTTTTTCTTTTCAAGTTTTAGGAATATAGCTATATTTGTTTTTGGTGGTTAAGAGGAATATAGGTATATTTGAATTCTAAATATTTTGCTATTTTTTCCCAATACAGATTGGTTCAGTATGGAAGGTTATGAACCACATGCAAGTGTTTGGATTGAACGAAAATTCCAAAAGCAAAATCAAAAGTTTGAATTGAATCATCTGGGCATTTGGCTTTTGTATGTAGATCAAGTTTTGAAGAATAGTAGTTGACATACCATGAGCAGAGCTTTGAGGTGAGTCATGGTCAGAGGCGTCTTGGAATCTCCTACCTCCTCTTTCAACTTCAACAAAAAACTCAAAAAATCTTGACTCTCTTTCGCGCCTTCCTCCTCCATCCTCAGCCGTTCATCAATCATCTGCTCAAATATCCCATCAAGCCTCCGGACCAACCCCTCCATCTGCTTCTTTATACCCTGCAAATCGAACCGCCCCAAACCCGGAAAAAAATCCGTAACATTGGGCCGACCTATGAGCCCCGTTATCTCCGACACCACTTTCCGAAACTCCGCCCCGACCCGAGCCCTCTCCTCCCCGTCCTCCGCCGCGATGCCGCCGCCCCATATCATGTTCGAGATGACGTTAAGCAATGTCAGGAAAATCTGCTCGCCCACGTTCACGGGTGACCCGGCCCGACCGTACAAGTACCCGACCGTCTTTCGGACCTGGTTTTGGCGGATCGATTGGACCGAGTCCAGCGCTGCGCCGCCGAGCATCTTCAGCATGGCGACCTTTCTCAGCATCCGCCACTCCGGCCCGTGCGGGGTCCAAACGACGTCGGTTCCTCCGTAGAAGGCGATCCGGGCCGCTACGGGGACGTCACGGTTGGCGAAGGTGACATCACGGTCTTTGAGGACCTCACGGGCGGAGGAAGGGGAGTTGATGACGACGCAGGTCATGGCACCGAGGCGGAGCTTGAAGATTGGGCCATAGGTGTGGGCCAGGCCTGTGAAGTAGGAGTGGAGTTCTGGGTCGAGAGAGAGAAGGTTACCGAGTAAGGGCATGCCCAATGGGCCTGGGGGCAAAGGTGGGATTTTGTTGCGGGACTTTCTCATGCACAGCCATGCACACCAGGTGCTTGCGAAAACGGCTGAGAGAGTGTAGAGAAGAAGCCAACTCTCATAATTTCTGGTACTAGTTTTGAACCAATTCATGGTAAGCTTCAAATTGGGATTTGAGTTTTGTGTGAAGAAATAAAGGGAGAAGGGAAGGACTCTGTGTGGTGCTAAGTGAAATATCCTGACTCAATGCAGTGGTTGTAAGTTAGACCACAAGTTTTTGCATGCAAGTTGATTTAATTAGATTAATGTTTTGTTGATTAAAAGAAAACCCCATGATTTAAGGAAATTGGCAAGATATTTTATATATTTGTCGTGGCATATCATTTTTCCTGTATTCGTTTTGGTGCTTAGTGGAATTCCAAGGGACTCTCCCACACACTTGGGTCTCTTTGATTGGCCCAGATGTTTAGAAAAACACTTGAACCTTTTGGTATTGTGTAGCCTCCAATGGTGGTAGATTGAGTTACGCGACGTGGCACTAACAGGGGTAGTGCAGGGTGCAATCTGAATGTCTCCTTGATGACAGCATCTAAGTAATGTAATTTGGGCAAATGAAACTCTTCTTGAACTTTTCTCATTTCTTCTGGATTTTGCATCAGCTCAGTCATCATCCATTCCATTGTTGTGGTGGTGGTGTCACTTCCACCCACGATAACGTCCTTATTAAACAATTCAAAACAACTTAGTAATTAAAGAGAAGAATTCGAATTTAGAACTTCTTTCCATTTTAGTAATGAGAAGTACACAATTACACGACAAGCTTGTTAGTCACCCTAATAAACTGAATATATATGATTCATGAATATTAAAACATTTATTCTAATACCACATTTTTCTTGAAAGTGAATAATATGAAGAAAAAAAAAAGTCCAATATACTTGAAATTTTGATCACGTATTTGGTATTTGTATATACACAGAGTTTCAATAGAGAGATTCCTATTTGAGGGACACCCTTATGGGGCTCATCCATATTGTATTTTTATAATCTGATCCATCTAGTTTTTAGCTATTCCTAGCTTGAGTTTGTAAATAGGGCCGTAGGTTTTTGTCAACTTTGTAAAGTCGTGATGAAATTTTGCTCCATCGACATCCCACCATGGTGACCACATTAGCTTCAATATTTTAACTGGCCTTATTGTAAATGAAAGGTTACCGAAACTTATATATAGAGAATTTTTTTAATTTTTTTTCGAATTCCGCCAGATAAAATAATAGTTAAATGAAAGGTTAACAAAAAAAATGCTGCCTTTCAACCCACCGAACAAAATATCCAGAAGAAAATTCGAGGAATTTGAAGCAAAAAACCAAAGGCATTTTCTGAAAGTGGTTGTAGTTGAGATAAGGAATTTCTAGGAAAGATGAAAAATAATCACAAGTACCAAATAGTTTTTGTCCATTTTCTAAAAATATGCTGGTTATGAAAGAAAAAGTCTTTGGTTTAGGGCGGAGGAAGAGTCTTGATTCTTTTGAACTCCAGAGAGGTCCTCATCATCCCTGCCCATGTAAATCTGTTTCTTTGGAGTGAGGCCACATCTACGATTGGCACGTGTGTAGTGGATATCGATTGTTTCTAAACCCTGTTATTTATCCGAAAATATAATGTTAGACGGTACACATTGAAAAGTACCGGTTTCAATTACAGACAACAACGTCTTAGTCAGAAATGGGGCCTCTCAACTCCCAAACAATGCAACATAAAATTCATCTTCAGAAAGACACACAGCAAATATCCCAATAAATCCTTGCGGTCCTAAATGAAGTTGGCTAATCATAGAGTGCAGGATCAGATAACCTAGGAGTTGGGATAGCAACCAAAGGGATCTTCTTTTTCAGCACAATCCCAAACTTCTCTGAAAGATCCAACTTCTGTCCTTGTGGCAATGTCCAGTCAAAAGAGTGCACAAGTGTAGCAAGTGAATGCATCACCATCCTCTCAGCCATTGCAATCCCAGCGCATATCCTTCTGCCAGACCCAAATGGGAAATAGTTGAAGTCATTTCCACTATAGTCCCATTTGCTGTTCAAGAACCTTTCTGGATCAAACACCAATGGGTTTTCCCAAATAGAAGGATCCCTGTGTATTGCCCAGACGTTCACGAAAATCCGAGACCCTTTCGGGATGGTGTAGCCTCCCACAGTGCAGGTTTCACTTGGGCAGTGAGGGACTAGTAGTGGCAGGGCTGGGTGCAAGCGCAGAGTTTCTTTCATCACAGCTTGTAAGTAGGGTAGATTATGAATATGAGACTCTTCTACAATGTTGTGTTTGCCAACTACAGCTTCTTGTTCTTGCTGGGCTTTTTTCATCACCTCTGGTTTGTGCATAATTTCAGCTAATGCAAACTCAACTGTGTTGGAGGAAGTGTCAGTGCCACCCACCACCATATCCTGCCCATAGTTAGATTACGAAGCATCATGTTAATGGACTTAGTTGTTTAACTTGAAACAAGAAAAAAAATAAAAATGCTTGAGCTTTCATGTCACACATTGACAACTGCGTGTTTTTGACATCTCATTGAAACACATCCAGGTTTTGAACTGTTCAACTGTTAGTTTACCAGTTACAAGCTTAAGCATTAACATTTGTTTACAACAACTTTTAAGGTTTTAATCCTAGACGGCCAGGAAAAGAAGCTCTCCATTTATTTGGAAGGAGTTTCAATTAAGGGATCTCTTAAATAAACTTAATTGAGAAACACATATGTACATTGTATTTAAATAATCCAACCATATATTTTCCAAGCCTTTATTCATAGATAATTTCTAAAAAAACAACCTGTCAGAAAACAATTAACCATTTGATAAAATGATAGCCGTTTTAGGTTTTTTTGGAAACTAATAATATACAAAAAAAAAGAAAGAAAGAAACGAAAGTGTTCAAGTGAAGTTAAAACAAGTCATACATATATACTTACCATAAGCAGAGCTTTGACATGGGTCATAGTGAAAGGCGTCTTCGAATCTCTTCCCTCGTCTTTCAACTTCAACAAAAACGTCAAAACATCAATGCTCTTTTTCGCTCCTTCTTTCTCCATCCGCAGCCGTTGATCAATTACCTTCTCAAATATCCCATCAAACCTCCGAGCCAACCCCGCCATCTGCTTCTCCACGCCTTGCAAATCGAACCGAGCCAAACCCGGGTAAAAGTCCGAAACATTCGGCTTCCCCATAAGCTCCGTCATCTCCGATACAACTTCCCGAAACTCGGCTCCAAGTCCAGCCCTCTCGTCCCCCTCCACCGTCCCACCCCACAACGTGTTGGTGATAACATTGAGCACGTTCAAGAACATCTGCTCGCCGATGTTTACCGCCGACCCGACCCGACTGTAGAAGTACCCGACAGTTTCCCGGAGCTGCTTTTGCCGGAGTTCGTACACCGAGTCCAGAGTGGTGTTGCTGAGCATCTTGAGCACGCAGACTTTTCTCAGCATCCGCCACTGGGGTCCGTACGGGGTCCACGCGATATCATTGCCTCCGTAGGTGGAGGCCCTAGCAGCGGCGATTACGTCGCGGTTGGCGAAAGTGACGTCATGGTCTTTGAGGATCTCGCGGGCTGAGGAAGGGGAGGTAACGACGACGGCGAGGGTGTTGCCGAGGCGGAGCTTGAAGATTGGGCCGTGGGCTTGGGCCAGCCCCGCGAAGTAGGAGTGGAGTTCCGGGTCGAGAGATAGCAGGTTCCCAACCAACGGCAGGGCCATCGGGCCAGGCGGCAGCGGCGGGGTTGCGTTCTTGGACTTTTTGTAGAGCCATGCGTACCAAAAGACGACGGCGACGGCGGAGACGGCAAAGGCCAGCCATGTTTGGTCAATGTTTGTGTAATGGGCTTGAAACTTCCATGAGAAGAAGGTGCTGTAATAAGAATCGGATGCCATGGTGTGTGTTCTGTGATCAGCAATGGGATTTGAGTTGAGGGAAGGGAAGAAGTTTGATCGGGTTTGAGTGGAAAGATGTTTGATCGGGTTTTCTTTTCATTGAAAGTTGACAGGTAGTTAGATTAGATAGTGACGACGAGAGATCAATAAGTTATCTGACCAAAATAGATCAAGAGATCAAATAAAAGACGTCTAGAATCATTCTAATTGTGTCAATTTTGGAAAAACTGCACTTGGACCATTGCTCCATATATATAATTATTTATTTGTTTATTGGCATTTCAATTTTACACTATCAGGGTCGTTTGGTACGGCGGACTGGTATGGACTGGACTAAATCCTGGGACTGTCTCGGATTGGCTTGGATTGGCCTAAGCTGGATTAAGTCCTGACCTACGTTTGGTGCTGCGTCGGACTAAGAAGCTGGATTGTAAAAATAGTGAAGACCTATGTTTGGTGATGTGTTGGACTAAAAAATAATTATTGTAATAATTAAATTTAAAACAATAATAAAAAGAAAACAACTAAAATTCTGATATTTTTTTAAAGGCTAAAATTATGTTAAATAAAAAATAAAAAATCATCAGATTCAGACCCAACCCAACCTCCTCATTCTTTTTATCTTTTTTTTTTTCTCTCTGTTTGTTATCTTTATTCAAAACCCTCCCTCATTCTCTATCTCTCCCATCGCAACTCACTTCCCCATCCCTTTTTTCTCTCTATTTTTTTTTCCTTTAATCATAAACCTCCCTGATTCTCTCTCTCATTCCCATCGGAACCCACCTCCACATCCCCTTTTCCCCCAATTCTTCTTCTCCCCCTTTGACTCCTTTTTAGTCAATTGAGAAAGCCGTAGGCAAAGGCTTCAGCAACTGCGTTTTCAACACCCGTCCTCTTCGATCTCGTCCAGCCAGTGATATGGGTTTGTTTAGTTGCAGAAATTAGGTAAACTCATGGTGGTGGTCTGCCGGGTTGATTGAAGGGGGGGGAGGTGGGGGGGGTTGATTCAGGCTAAGGATCTGACTTCAGTGAATATGGTTGACTGAAAACACAAATAAAGAAAATCCAATTACAGGTTAAGAAGAAGAAGAATTAGTTCGGACTCGCGTGTTCAATCTAGCGAGGGCACTATATTGCGAACCACTTTTCAACCTCTCTAAATTAGCCGAGCGAGTGAGGGGTTTTGTTTACGGTAGGACTATATAATCTCATTTATCTTTCACAATCCTTGTAATGGGGCCTCAACTCCCAAACAAGGCAACATAAATTCATCCTGATTTTACCATGTTCTGAAAGACACATACAAACAACAATTATCCCAACAAATCTTTGTGGGTGAAAATGAAGTTGGCTACTCATAGAGTGCTGGATCAGATAACCTAGGAGTTGGGATAGCAACCAAAGGCATCTTCTTTTTCAGCACAATTCCAAACTTCTCTGAAAGATCCAGCTTCTGTCCTTGTGGCATTTTCCAGTCAAAAGAGTGCACTAGTGTAGCAAGTGAATGCATCACCATCCTCTCAGCCATTGCAATCCCTGCACATATCCTTCTGCCAGATCCAAATGGGAAATAGTTGAAGTCATTTCCACTATAGTCCCATTTGCTGTTCAAGAACCTTTCTGGATCAAACTCCAATGGGTTTTCCCAAATGGAAGGGTCCCTGTGTATTGCCCACACGTTCACGAAAATCCGGGATCCTTTCGGGATGGTGTAGCCTCCCACAGTGCAGGTTTCACTTGGGCAATGAGGGACTAGTAGTGGCAGGGCTGGGTGCAAGCGCAGAGTTTCTTTCATCACAGCTTGTAAGTAGGGTAATTTGTGAATGTGAGACTCTTCTACAATGTTGTGCTTGCCAACTACAGCTTCTAGCTCTTGCTGGGCTTTCTTCATCACCTCTGGTTTGTTCATAATCTCAGCCAACGCAAACTCAACTGTGTTGGAGGAAGTGTCAGTGCCACCCACCACCATATCCTGCCCACAGCCAGATTACAAAACATCATGTTAATTGACTTGGTTGGTTGACTTGAAACAAGAACAACGAAACATCCAGGTTTACACTGTTTAGCTGCATTATTTCATCAATTGCAAGCTTAAGCATTAATATTTGTTTACAACAAGTTCTAAGATTTTAACTTTTAACCAGGGACTTCTTCTATTCACCTCCAAAATCTTCCCACCAATCAAGTTTGAATGAAAATTTAATTACAATTGCATCCCTTTTTGAAGTTGCCTAAACGACTAAGCCCAACAGATTACCAAGGGGAGTCTCAAGTAAATTACTTTCTAAATCCTTCACATTATTACCTAGAATGAATTTATTGGGGCGACCATTAAGGCCATCACCATTCATGAGGGCTAAATGTAGCTCCATGCTATAATATAGCCCACCAAAATATTAATTAAAAATATATAGTTTAGGCTAATTTTTCCATTTCTAGCCATACATGACTATTTTTGGGGACCTTTCATATTGTATTATTTAAAAAAAAACTATGGTACAACATTCATACATTCCACTATGTATTGTTAATACCCACAACGCTATCTTCAGAGACTTTTATGAAAGCCTTGCAAAGATGTTCAGCTTTGACTTGTGACCAATTTAGTCGCTTCGAAGTCCATAACATTTTTCAAACAACGTGAATAACAAAATAACTAAAGATAATAAATTTGTAAGAAATGTTTGAATGAAATGAGTGTGGAAAAATATTTGACAAAAAAAATAAGAGTGGAAAGTTTTGAATAAGTAGATAATGTGATAAAATTTGTACGAAGTGTGGAATAAAATGAGTGTGAACATTTTTGAAGAAATTTGGAGGTATTTATAGACATATTTTAGGTGTTTTTGAAAAAAATATATATTTAAAGCCCACAATGTCTATTTTGAAAAAATTGCACTTTCAAAAGAGGAAATAAACATAGGTTTTCAAGTGAAGTTAAACGAAGTCGTACCATGAGCAAAGCTTTGAGATGGGTGATGGTGAAAGGGGTCTTGGAATCTCCTCCCTCGTCTTTCAACTTCAACAAAAACGTCAAAAAATCCTTACTCTCCTTCGGGCCTTCCTCGTCAATCCTCATCCGTTGATCTATTATCTTCTCGAATATCCCATCAAACCTCCGGGCCAACCTGCCCATCTGCTTCTCCACGCCCTGCAAATCGAACCTAGCCAAACCCGGATAAAAGTCCGAAACATTCGGCTTCCCCAGAAGCTCGGTCATCTCCGACACCACCTCCCGGAACTCTGCCCCCAGCCCCGCCCTCTCGTCGCCCTCCACCGTCCCACCCCACAGCATGTTCGTGATAACATTCAGCACGTTCAAGAACATCTGCTCGCCGACGTTGACCGGCGACCCTACCCGCCTGTAAAAGTACCCGACAGTTTCCCGGAGCTGCTTTCGCCGGAGTTCGTACACCGAGTCCAGAGTCGTGTTGCTGAGCATCTTGAGCACGCAGACTTTTCTCAGCATCCGCCACTCGGGCCCGTACGGGGTCCACACGATATCGTTTCCGCCGTACGTGGCGGCCCGTCCGGCGGCGGGGACGTCACGGTTGGCGAAAGTGACGTCATGGTCTTTGAGGATCTCGCGGGCTGAGGAGGCGGAGGTGACGACGACGCCAAGGGTGTTGCCGAGGCGGAGCTTGAAGATTGGGCCGTGAGCTTGGGCCAGGCCCGCGAAGTAGGAGTGGAGTTCCGGGTCGAGAGATAGTAGGTTCCCAACCAGGGGCAGGCCCATCGGGCCCGGCGGCAGCGGCAGGGTCATGTTCTTGGACTTTTTGTAGAGCCATGCATACCAAAAGACGACGACGACGGCGGAGACGGCAAAGGGCAGCCATGTTTGGTTAATATTTGTGTTATTGGCTTGAGACTGCCATGAGAGCAAGGTGCTGTGATAGGAAGGGGATGTCATGATGTGTGTTGTGATCCAGAAATGAGACTGATTGTGGTTGTGGGTATGGAGTGGAAGATAATTTTAATGGGTTTTTTCTTATTTTTTTAATGAACGGAGATTCCAACTTGAGACGTCTTTGTCACCAATTTGATATCTAGATTAATATTCAGACAAAAAAAACAGATATCTAGATTAATAAGTTGAAACAAGAAAGTCATATATGCTCTCTGTGGCTGTAGAATCTTTTCTAATTGTGCCAACTTTGGCAGTTAGCTTTCTCTCATTTCATATCATCTTTAGGAGTAGATCAAATTATCAACCACTGATTATAATATTATCATACAAAATTACATAATTAAACACATACATGCACACACATATACATGTATCACCCAAGGGGTAAGTTGTCCAACCATGAATCATCCAAGAGTGGAGCAGAAGAATCCAACTCAGTAGGCCATTCATCAGAGCTAACATCTATTTCATCAAACACAATGGGTTTGCATTTTCCATCCCTCTTCTGATAAATGGATTGCAACCAAAGATTGCAATGCACAAAAACCAGGTCATTGAATTTTTCCAGCTCTGCTCGGTTGCGTTTCTTGCTATGTATGTTCTCAAAGGTGGTCCAGTTCCAACAGCACCAATGGGAACTACAAGGTTGGCTTAGAATCCGTATCGCAAACCGCTGGAGTGTCGGGATTTCATAACCATAACCTGCCCACCAGTCACCTGTAGATGCATGATGGCATGTTACATAAAAACTCCATGTCTTAAAGAAAATGCACGCATAACAAACAAGAGCTATAGTCCTAAGCTAGATGATGGGGAACACCAACAATCAGCGCCCCAAATGCACAAAGAGCCAGTTTGAGAGGGAATGGAGATGTTTAACGCTTGAAACCAGTCTGTCGGACATGTTTGACATATTCCTTTTTATTCTAAAATTCTATTTTTTGTTAACACTCAAATTCTCTTCTGACCAGTGACCAACAGCAAAGCCTTCAAACAATGAAGTAACCAAATTGCAGAATATGCCACACAAACTGCTACAATGCAACCATAATCAGGTCCAGTGATTGAGAGGAAAACAGAAGATCCTATCATATGACCGGCACATCTTTCAAAAAGTTTTTGTTTCATTAGTACTATGTTTCAAATTTTCTAACAGCTGAACCTTTACATACCTGGAGCATTCAGTGTCCTCCCCATGATTGCAAAATCAGTCCCAAGTGCACCTTGTGCATTGACATACATAGGATGCTCTTTAGTTATATCCATCTTATCTTCTTGTGTGGTAGCCATCTTTAACATAGTTTCTTGAAATCCATTTCTCACCCTCAAATCGATCTTAAAGTTTGGACTGTAGAATATAGAAGGATTAAGGGAGGCTGCCGCTGCATGTAAGGACGAGTGAAGCTGCATATTCCATCTCCGATCAATTATATCCCAGAGCAGCATATATTTCTCTTCAATACCCTTGTAATGAGTCTTTATTGCAACCTTTGCCCTCTCTATTCCTTCATACATGTACCCCATAGCTGGCATGTCCCCATCAACAACTCTAAGGATTTTAAGTAGCGGTTCAGAAATACTCACAGCTTCTTGTGCATACTTCCAAAATCTCTCTAAATACAACAAGGACTTAATTGCTTGAGCCTCAGGGCGTCTACTGTATACTGAAGACGACCATTCTGTATGAGAAAACATGTGCTTTAAATTGTCCCCCAGAATCACAATGGACCTCAAGGTGAGGAAATTAGTCACAAATCTAGTAATTTTTGGCCTTAGCAATTCCCTTCCACCATTGAACTTTCTCATCATACTCAAAGTCCATGTGTGGCTATATATGAACTTTGTAATGCTCTTTGCCTCTTCCAGAACTGTGCTCACCCACTCCTGTTTACCAATATCCTCCAGCATCTTATTAATACAATAAGAGGCACAAGGAGACCAAAACAATGAATTGTACTTGGCCATAAGAAGCCTTCCCGCATAAACATAACTGGCAGAAGTATTCGTTATAACTTGGACAACATGTTCAACACCAACCTCCAAGACAACAGACTCAATCAGCTCAAACAAGTAAGTAGCATCATCTTCATGACCTGATACATCGACTGACTTCAGAAACAGGGTCCCTTTAGGGTATGTAACCGAGAATATTACAAGTGATTTGTTCCTATCATCAGACCAGCTATCACATAAGATAGTGCAGCCTGTTTCTTTCCATTCATCTCTATATTTCTTGTAGCAATCATGCATATCACCTTTCACTTTTTCCAACAGAGTAGATCTCAGGCTTTCATAGCTCGGGGCTTTGTAGTCTACCCCACACTCTGCCACAGCATCCACCATTTCCTGATAATATATGGATTTAGCAGCACTAAAAGGGATAGAGTTGTGGAAGAAGAACACAGCAATTTTTTTATCAGCCACATCCTGCTTTTGCTTTTGAACATCATCCACTGGTAGGTGTGCAATTGGTGAAGGGCATGCGAATAACAAAGATGGACAGGTGCTTCCATTCTGTCCACTAGACCCATGGTTAGGATGGAAGCCACCACTAGCAGAGGAGCTATTCTGTTGACCATTGGCTGCAAATGCCTTATCCACCTTTGGTTTCTTGGGAGTTTTCTGTTTCTTGGGAGTGCTTAATATACTTAAAATGTGATCTCGCACATCGGTCGGGACTTCTGTGCAGGGGACTATATCTTTGTTTTTTATTTGAGCTAAGTGAAACTTCATCCTGTATACCCCTCCACTGAACTCCCGCTGACAATAATTACACCTAACCTTCTGTTTTGTTGCATCGACAAGGATACAATGCTCCCAACAGGCATCTCTTCCTCGAACCATTATCTTCGACATTTAAAAAAATTCAATAATTATTCGTTTTTCCATTGAAATGAAAATAAACTTTCAGAAAGTGAATTCATTGTTAAAAAAGAAATAATATGATGTAATAAAACAAGACAACAATTAGTTTGAAATGGCTTCTTGATTGACAATCTAAGAGATGCTAGAACATCCATTTGCCTTTCCAATACTTGCTTATCCTTGCATGGAAAAAAGCAAGCACCAAAGCATGCTAAATTAATCATAGTACGCATTTCTTACCTGGTTTCATAACTTTGCAACCCCCTCCTTCGCATTATCTAAGTTTTAATTAAATCTCAATTCCTTTATCTCCATAGAAGCAATGCACCAAAATGCAGACATTAATTGATATAAAAAAACATCTTTGCAACTTGTTCGTTTGTTTGGTTTTTCTGTATAAGCAAATAAAAGACGAATTTCCATGGGATCACACCTCTGTGCTGTACTGATACAAATGAAGTCAGTAATACAGTACAAGACCAGTTATACATGCACCCTTCTTTGTGTCACTATGATTACTTGGGGAACTTTTATTATCTCATCACCTATGAACTTATGATCCATCCGAATAAATAAACTCTTGCAATAAAATCAAGCACTACCCTGAATCTTTAGGCAGCAAATTCTTCAATTTTAGATCGAGAAAACTTTATAGACAACATATATCCTCTTTCGGTTTTCCAAACTTTAAATACTATGGCACAAGCTTAAATTTGAAAGTATCCCATCACAAATGAACCAACCAATCCATTGACTCGGGCTTGATAGCCTTATGAATGAGCATTGTTGCCCGCAAAGACTGACTAAAATGGTCTTCAGCTTATGAACAGATCATTTCACTGTTCCACTCAAATTGGGAAATTGTCTTTAAGATTTTATTTTCCATACAGTTAGCTTCCTCTTTATGTTAATTTCCCAATAACCCACAAAACTATTCACCCTAACAGCACCTAACTTCTAAATCATCAGCATCATGCATGAGTAGCTTAGCAAAACAAAATACCAAAAGTCTTTTTAAATAAGTATTAATAAATAGGTCAGTTACTAAATGAAAATTATATCATTATAGAGCTTCAGAAATAACTTCCACTCAACTGGGCACAAATCAAAACTGAGTTATATCATTATTAATTACTATAAATGAGCTCATGTTGTTCTTGGGGATTTGAGCTGAGAGAGAGAGAGAGAGAGCACCTGGTTGTATAATATGGTCTGAGCGACAAGTCCTACTTTGTTGTTCTGGGAGCTGAGAGAAAAAATCGGAGCGGTCGGAGCCTGCGAACTAGGATCGGCGATTTTGAAGGGAAAGATGAAGGAAGGAGTACCGAGGAAATGAAAAACCACGGCGATAAATTGAAATTAGTGGTCCTCGCTTCGCTTGGCCCCTTAACCGAGGAAAAGGCGTGGAACTCTTCTAACACTTGCACGTGATTTTCTCGTGCCTTTAATTTCATCATTGAAAAACTGTCCAAAGATTTTGCCTCTTTAATCCTTAATTAGTTTAATTATTTATTTATTTTTGGGAATGCCAAGATTGCCTCGTTGATCTTTCATTTTAGTGTGTAGAGCAGAGTTTAATACGTTTCGACAAACGTTATAATATCGACATGCCATAATATAAAGTGTCTTTGTTATGCAATGTCACCGGATAACTGTTTTGGCAATTGTCTGTGTCTAACAATGAAAATTGAAAATTAATAGAAGTTAGACATATTTAGGCATCCCGAGAATTGAAGATAATTTTAACCTCTTAAAATAGTGAACCTTTTATTTACTTACAATCGTGAATTTAGAAACAGTTCAAGATTTAGCACAATTGTAATGACAATATAAGAACATAGCAAGCAATCCAATAATGACACAAGTAATTAGTGTTGGTTTATTTTGTACTACAAAATCTTGGTTCGGTTTTAGTGATCATTTTTAGTTAAAATTGAATCGAACCACACCAAATGAATAGTTCGGTTTCGATTACAATTCTTGATTAAAACCGGACCGCCCCGACTCCTAATCTAGCATATGCTTTATGAAACATAAAATAGATTTCCTTTGTTTTTTTAGAAATATGGAAAAATTCCGTGTCCCGAAGCTCTAACAAAGTCTAAAAGCCAAGGTTTACTTATACTGCTTATTGCATATACGGAGATTACATAATACATTGCCCTTCTAGCAGCAAAATGAAAAACAAAACCCTATCTCTAGCCGCCTGAGAGAGAGAGAGAGAGAGAGAGAGAGATTCACGTAAAAGGGAAAAGAGCAATATTAATAAAGAAATTAACTAAAATAGCCATTCTTCACAACTTTTGCTTCAAAATAGTCATCTTTGCATTACAGAGGTACTCTGGGAACAACATAGAAGGAACTATAGGGACACTATGGGAATAGTGGCTACTTTGGAACAAAAGTTGTGAAAATGGCTATTTTAACACAGAGCCTGTATTAATATGGGTGGTAAGGGCTGGCCCTGGGCCTGGGCGCCGAGGGCGACGGCCATGGGCCTCCGAATTAGAAGGGCCTCAAAAATTTTATATATTATCAAGAGCCCAAACTTTTTTATAAAAAAAAAAACACTGTTTCTATTTCCAGCCAGAAGAACTCTTCTTCCCATAAAACAATTGCAGGCTTCCTCTTCTTCCAATAAACAAATTGCACGCTTCCTCTCTTCCCATAAAAAAAAGGCTTTTTATCACAAAACGTCCCTACGTTTGTGAAACTATCAGATTGCATTCTTAAAGTTTTTTTGTATCACTCATGGTCCCTAACGTTAATATGAGTGCTCTTAAATAGTCCCTCCGTCAAAAAAACTGTTAAATCTAGGGATAAAATCGTCAAATCCACTAATATATGCAATCAGTCACATATCTATTCTATGGGAGATGGCTCATCACTAATATATGCAATCAGTCACATATCTATTAAATGGGAGATTCTCCATTACGAACTATTAAAATGCGAACTTGTTACAGAGTTTCGTTTTTAACCGGCTGATTGTTTCTATGGTGCAGATTAAAACAACATTTAATATCCCGTTTCCAACTCTCCGTCTCCTTCGTCCCTCTCTTCCTCCGTTCTCATTTCTTCCCCCATCTGTATTGCTGAATTTTTCCTTCTTTTTATTTTTATTTTTTTCCTTCCATCTCCCTCTCTTCTCTCGCACTTCTCCATTTCCAATCCACTACCTAAGCTTCTCCCTCCACAACACTCTCTTCCCTGTTGCTTTCATCCATGGCAATAGCATAACTTTTCCTTATGTTATTTTTTTATATAATGGTTTTGGCTGAGTAAGCATTGATGTCTGACTAATTTATGGTTTTGAGTAAGGAATTGGTTTATTTTTATTTTTTTGGAAAGCCGAAACAAGTTAGGAAAAAAACAATAGAACATAAAAGAAAAGAAAGGAAAGGAACAGAAAAGAAAAAAAGAAAAAGGGAGAAAAGAAAACAGCAAAACAAAAGAACCAGAGCAACAACCCAAAATGGTGGAAGAGAAAGGAATAAGAAGGAAAATACAGCAACCCAAATGCTCCCCACCAGAAACACCCAAAGCCCCACAGTCAAAATCCAAACCCCCAACAAACTCTCCAAACCCAGAAGAAAGCAAACAACTGTGGAGAGGAGAGAAGAATAGGGAAGGTCAAAGAGAAGGGAAATTAGAGGGAGAGACAGAGGAGGAGCTACCGTAAGAAATGGGAGAAGAGAGGAGATGGAAGGAAAAAAAGAAAACTTCAGCCACGCAGATGGGGGAAGAAATGAGATTGGAAGAAGGAAGGGAGGAAGGAGACGAAGAGTGCGAGAGAAGGGATGGAGATGGAAGGAAAAAAAATTAAAATAAAAGGAAGGAAAATTCAGCAACATAGATGACGATTATATCTCTGGATTTAACAGTTTTTTTGACAGAGGGATCATTTAAGAGCACCCATATTAACGTTATGGACCATGTGTGATACAAAAAAACTTTAAGGATGCAATCTGATAGTTTCGTAAACGTCAGGGACGTTTTGTGATAAAAAGCCTAAAAAAAATTTGCACGTTTCCTAAGCTACCTTTCTGCTTTCCACACTATTCTTTTCACTTTTTTTGTCAGTATCAGACCCTTCTCTCTTCTCCCTTCTCCCAAGTTCTATTCACTATAAAACCCAACAAAATGCTCTCTTCAATATATTATTTTCAGTTTGTCTCTCATCCCACTTTTATTTTCAGATTTTTTTTTTCTACACGTTTTCTGCAGAGGAAAACTGTGAAATATTCTATGAGGTTCTTCAATAATAATCCCAGATTTCGAATTTTATTTGCAACAGAGCTAGCCTAATTAAAGAAAGTTCTGCAAGGTAGGTTGAGGCTTTTTTTTTTACAAGCATAAAACAGGTTTTATGCTCCTTATTTGTTTTTTAAATTTAATTTTTTATCGGTTACTTTGGTTCATTGAATGTATTTGTTTCTTTGTTGGTTATGTTTGGTGTGTTTATTTTGTTTATTTGTTGTCAGTTTCACTCTCAAACAAGCATATACAAGAGACCCACTTCCTCTCCCTCATCTCCCTCATCCTCTCCGCATATTCACCCCACCTTCCCACTTCCTTCTCTTTCCCCGTTGATTAAATTGAACAATTCTTTTTTAACTTCTCAAATCTAAAAAAGTGTTCAACCCTTCATGATTTGGAAACCAAAGGGTCTGTGGAGGTTTTGACCCCAAAAAAAGGTCTATAAAGGTAGCGAAAGACACAAATATGCGACAGACGAGAAAAAAAATTTCTCACCACCCTAATATGCGAGAGAGAGAGAGAGAGGTAGAGAGAAAGAGATAGACAGAGATTTGGCAGCGGGTAGTGTTTGCTGCCACAAGTAGCTGGTGCAAAAATTAAATGAACAAAAAAGGCAGGTGCAGCAGCAAGAAAGTGAAAAACTAAGGATTTTTGACTCTTTAGTTTCTGCCAAGGATAAATTTGGAAATACATAATGTTTTTTCATAATTAAAGGTTGTCAGCATTTTCCACGAAATTATTCTATTTAAGCAAAAAACAAAGGCATTAGCAAAAAAAAAAATTTCCCTTGTTTACTAAGGGCCTCACTTAATGATGGCCCTAGGGCCACCAAAAGGTCATGGCCGGCCCTGGGTGGTATAGACTGTGTGTGGTTGTTTTTTTTTTTTTTTTTTTTTCCAAGACTCTGGTTGGTTAAATATTTAGATATGGGTGATATTGAGCTCTATAATTATCTTGGACTGGATAAAATTGTTTGCACACCCAATTTCTTTGTACATTAGACCCAGTTTTTTTAGCAATAGATGCTACATGCTAATTGTTTTTATTTTATTTTATCAAATGCATTTGATTCATATTATTTTTCCCATTTGATGGATGATTATGCTATGATGGATTGTATTATCAAGTTTTCTATTTATATTATTTTAATCAATAACGTACCCATATCCTAGTTTTTGGAGATTTCCCATATTGGCATACCCATATTCATGCAACGTAGGTATGTAAGTTTCATTCAGCCGACTTCCAAATCCTAGATCCGCGCCACTGCATTCAAACTCAAGTTCTGATAATATTAGACTCATTCATGGGTGTAAATCAACATAAAGTTAAGAATGTAAAAGGAACTTATCATAAGTATCATATACCTTATCCACCACATGTAAAGACTGCAAGTTTACAAAAATATGGGGGGAAAGAACATTTCATAATAGTAGAACACTAGAATTTATAAGTGGAAGCGAAACAAGGAAAAACAAAATACAAATAACTAAAGCACAACAAAAAAATTTGTTAACTTCTTTCTTTCTTTTCACATTTCGAAGCCTAAAGTTACCAATTAAAAGAGTATATGGGAGAACAGCACAGAAATAGGGGCCACATCTTTTTATTTTTATAAATATATATACAAATGATAATCTACTTTAAATTAATCTAAATAACAGAGAAGAAGATTCGAACTCAGGTGCAGAATGAGGAACACATCCGTTCTAACTAACTTAGCCAAGTCCATGTCTACAACAATAGAGACCACATCTTGAAATTGGTACTTAGGTGACGAGGGGTAAATTTAGCAACACAAACAAGACACAACAACACAATCAATCAAGAGAACACACAGAGCATGCCACAAGGTACCTGCAGCCCTAGAAGATTACTAGTGACAACCTAGGCACTCAGAAGGACCCATCAATCTAGGCATCCCTTGTGCTAGCAACAACTATGGTGAAAGTGTGTGAAGTCATCATTATTAAGTAAACAGCAAGCAGCAGATAAAGATGACTAGTCAACCACCAAGAACACAAACCCAGAAAAATTTACAGATATGCAAAACAGAATTTGTTTACCCAGAAACCCACCATTGGGAAAAAACTGGAAGTCATCAACTGACTGGGCAATCCACTAA